TTCATTAAATTATCTATTTGTTGTCCTGAATCTGCTACATGTACTTTCTGAAAATGGAATCATGCCTCTGTTATTTTCATTATTGGCTAACATACATATCTTCATCATACAACATTCCAAACTCCTTTGGTCTCAATCTATAAGATATAAGAGTAAGAAATACAAAACAGCGTGAATGATTCGCCTAATATTATTTCCTCTTTCTGTGTATAATGAACTTGATTGTTTACTATTTTAGTTTAACTTTTAAATGTTGGTTTGATTTTTGAAACTATCACAACCAACAGGATAAAAAAGAACAAGCTTTACATACAATTTCCTGACCCTAAGTCTACCAAACAAGAAAAACTGTGAGTAGCATACTAAAATGGCATCAAGTTCAACTCTTTACCATGGGACAGACTGGGCTTACTGGGGAAGAGCAACCACGTCCTAAGACTTATGGGATAGTTCATAAAATTTCCAACATATCACATATTTATTTTCACTCTTCTACAATAAGATATGCCTTACGTTTCCATATGAAGTACTTCTAAAATTCTTAAAATATTAATCTTTACATACTGTTTTCACTCATAAAGCAATTTGTTTTAAATCACTTATTAACCAAGTAATCCAGACTTCAAGATGGCGCAGTAACCAATATTATTTGGTAACTACCTCAGGGAGAGGGAAGGAAGGAGAGAGTGAAAGGAGAAAAGAGGGAAATGGTACGCAGCTCCTACCACTTACTATGTTGCCAGTGTGTTCCTCAGGAGTCAACACTGCCTCAGCTAAACCACACACATTCTTAAAACAGAATAGGACATGTCTAGTGTAAAGGAAGCAAGTGTTTCGTACCTACATCTTCAATACATTTACAATGATCCCAAATGAAGATATTTTAAAATAAATTTAATCATCTGTATTCAATGATTATCTTAATTCTGTGTGATAAATAATTCTACACAGAATAATTTAACAGTGAGGAAAAGCAGACATGAAGAATAAACAAACTATTCTAGAAACAATTCAATTCCTTCCAATCAAGCCATTACTATTCCAACTCACATAAGAAAAAAATGGTACTATAAAACAACTGTAACAAAGGAAATGTTTATAACACAATACCTGTTGACCTGTCCTAGGAATAAGTTTAATAATCAGATTATTCTCTGGGTGTAGCATAAAATCTGAATTAAGCTATAAAACAGTTATGTAATGAAAACTTACATGGAATGTTATAAAATCAAGATCAGAAAGCATAGAAAAGTAATCCACATACAGAGAAAGCTGCCAGTTCCTTTTATACTGAGTAATATTATCCTACATCTACTTTTTAAATAAATTTCTTAATATTCAAATGTCCCATTTCAAAGCAGAGGGAAAACAATTTAATGAGCAGTAAATGTACTAGCCATCACTAACAAGCTAGTTTATAATGTCACAACTACTTTACCTCTATAGCTTTGCTATAACTTAAGAGTCCTACTACTGACATCAAAACTATTATATAAACAAACACAGAAACCATACTCTTTCCAACAACTTAAAAAAATCAAAGAAGCCTTTCAAATATTACTGACTATAAGTAGATATTTTTTCAACGACATAAAAATCAAAGGAAAGAAAGCTTTTCAACTATTGCTGGCTGTAACTAGAAAATAATATAACCTATTAAACTCGGAAGCACTTGCCAACTTAAACCCTTCTTCCTCTGCTGCTCCTACTTTTCTCCTTCAAGTCATCAGCACCAAAACCAAGAAATGCTATAAAAAAAAATTAAAGAAACAAACAAACAGCATGCCTGATTCGGAATAGTTGGTTTTCTGACTGAGGACTGTTAATAACAAAATATTAACTGTACTACTACAGAGATGAAATGAACCATAACAAGGAATCAAATGAAATTGATGGAAGCGATACACACAGGCTCTTGACTACATATTTAAAAGTAACCAATCATCCCCTTATAAAAATATGGAGTGCCCAGGTAGTATTTCCATTAATGCAAATAAAAAACACAAATATTTAGCATGTAATATGGAATATTCAACTATATTATGCTATTTAAATTACTGTGTCTTTTAAAGAGTTAAAGACAATACTTTTGGATTATTAAAATCAAACCAAAGACATCTTGAAATAAATTGTAATTGTCAAATTTAACCTTAATGATATTCCTGTACATTTTCATCCCCAAAAGTTAATGATTTGTTAAAAAATTAAATTGAACTCACTTCACAATCTTAAAACCTAACCTATATAATCTAAATATTCTTATATTTTTTTGCAACAGGAATGAAATAGAACATTTCCCAAAATGTAGTGGCACACTAATAAATGAAGAAGAAATGATTTGTTGCAATACTTTAGTGAAAAGATACCATATCCTTCATCTAAAATCCCCAAGAACTTGAAGACAGTAAATGAAACCACATATGATGCGTCTTTTGAAACACTTCCACTCTTTAATTCTTATGGAGGGAAGAATGTGTCAGAGGCTTACGAGTCCAAACTATACAAAACAATTTCTTAAAAATTCCATCCTCTCTTCCCCAGGAAAGAGCACACCAATTGGTTATCCAAAACCAAAGGTTCAGCCCTGAAAGCATACATAGAAGTAACATTATGCAGACTAAGCATTATGCAGACTAAGCATTTATGAATTTAAAAATACATGACTTTGAAAGAGAATAAGAAGTATGAAGGAATGGGTTGGAAGGAGGAAAAGAAAGGAGAAAATGATGTAATTATAATCTAAAAACATGAAATAATTTTTTAAAAATTTTTTAAACTACTTTCTTGAAGAGATGGTTCAGTAGCTTAGAGGGCTTAGAGGACCTGAGTTTGATTCCCAGCACCCATGTCAGGAAGCTCCCAACCACCAGCATCAGGCTCCAAAGGGATGATCAGATGTCTCGGGCTTTTCTCCAGAGTTCACACTTACAGCACATACCTACATATAGACCCACACATACATAATTTAAAATAATAAAAGTAACCATTTCTTAAACTCCAGTGGTGGTTTATGAGACTGATTCATAACACTATATATCAGACAACTAAAAAGGTAAGACATAAAATTATTAATAGGAATACAGGGAATGTGAACTGGGGCTGGAACTCAGCACTTGCCTAGTGTGGATAAAGTCTTTGCTTCAGTCCCAGCACTATATCACCTGCACATGGCGGTGCATACCAGTAATGTCACAAAGCATCTCAAGACCACCCTGAGCTACATATTATGATCATCTCTCAAAAAAAATATAATATAGTGAATGCAGTTAAAGACTTGGTTTTTGTTTAACTTTCTGGTGTAAGTAAATATGTGTTTACAAAGTGTTCTTAAACATAAGAAAACAACATCCAAGAAAAGATACTTAATGGAAGATACACAGGTTATTTTAATAATATGACAAAATATTCCACAGCATAAAACTACTATATAACAGGAAATCAGAAAATACAGCTTTCTCTATACACTATTCAACTTATACTTGCCACTGGAACATACAAAGAGTTCTCCTACTGTTTTGCAAATGAAAAGGATATTAAATGACAATCATAATCACAGACTAGGGTATCACTAAGGGGCCATAACTCAAGGACTCAAAATTCCAACCCTAAGAGTACTGAAACCATTTAAGCCTTCAAAAAAGAAACAGCACAGAATTCCTAAGTTTATGAAACACTGGGTGTAAAATTCCATCTGCTTCCTCAAGTACTGGATCCTACACATCAAAAGGCAGGTAGCCGCAGACAAAGCCGCACCAACAGCAAAGTCCCTACTCTCAAGAGAGAAGCTGCCTGAAAAACGGTTAAGATTTCTTACATTAGCAGCACGATGCCGGCCAGCTGTTTTGTAAAATCATTCCATGCACATTTACACATCTTTTTAACCTTGCAACATCAAGCTGTGAGCAATCAATCTTCAAATACTGGCAAACTGGAGAATTAAAATTGCTTTGTGTGGTCATTCTTAAATTGGGGGGTTGACCTAAGAGACAAATTTTGAATTAATTTGAAAACAAAAACAACAATAGGCACTTAATGTTTTACTTCAGAAAATAAAGCTTTACTTGGGAACAAGGATCTTCAATATAAAAATGATTTAGCTAACTAAAAGTATTTCAACAGCACACAATTCTAGATGGCCAAAATCCTTCCAGAGCTGCCGTACCACTCACTACCAGGTTGGGCAATGAGGGCAACTGCTAGATGTCAGACTCCTTCATCCAAGTGAGTGACATCAGAGGCACAGCACTTCAGCCAAGCCTTCTGGCTTGAAGGTCACATGCAGCACTTGCTGGCATCACTGATCCTATCCTACTATGGGTCATCCGGGTCACATCTACACTTAGAAGACTGGGAGCCCAAACTCTCAGTAAATGCAAGTTCAGTTTAGAGTAAAATCTAACGCAGGTGGAGCTGCCTCCAAAAATTCTCCAACTACTGTCTGTACATACACACGCACACACACACGTACACACACACGAAATACTTTTATTATTTTATCTCAGGAACCTAGTAATTTTTGGAAAGTCCACGTTTAGTAGTTTCCCTTGCTTGTGCTATATAGAGATGAAATTAAATCCACAGATCACCACCTCCACAGTCCTGCTGTCCTAAAATAAGCAGACTTCAACATCTCCTCCCATCTCCAGCGATTTTCAAAGCCTAGGAAGGAATGTTTCAACCAACAAATACCTTCCCACTGAATGGCTGCTGCACTGCCATGCACGAGACAACTGTGCTCAGTAATCCACCTCTGCTAGCCCCAGCATTTGTTTTAAAGCTCTTACCACTGCCCGAAAACGCAGGGAGTCCACAAACAGAGAGGCCACACACCAAGGCAACAAAGACAGACAGCTTTACGCCTGGCAAAAAGTCACCAAAAACTACGGGAGAAAAGTCTTAACTAACTGGCGTTTGTTCTTTTGTTATGTATATATACATATTTCTTCATTATAATTAATAATGCTCATGCCAGCTACATATTAAGAGTTATAAAAACTTACCCCATTCTAGATATTCAAGAATGTTCTTCTCTCTTCTCAGTGGAGAATTATTGCATTCATCATAGAGACAGATGAGAATGTCCAGTAGAGTCTCCACACTGAAGCACTGCCCATTGGTCTGCGCTGGCCCATCCAGAATAAACTGTTCCAACTGCCTCAAACGCACTTCTCCGGACATGGTTGCTTCGATTGCTGCTTCTGGCCTTCTCTTAATTGCCCTTACGACGTCTACTGTCACTATCTGTGCCTAAAATTTTAAAGGTGTGGTTTTAAAAAATAAACCACTTGTTATTTCAACAACTGTCATGCAATGCCGGTGCTGAATTAAACATCCAACACGCCAGTCACCTCACTTAACGGAAGCGTCTTCGATTTCACCCATAAACATATATATCTTGAGGGTAAGTTTCCATAAAATATAGATTTAATATTTGTAAGAGGATAATACAATTAAGTTGTATGTTTAAATAAAATAATAATTAAAAGTACAACGAACTAAAGAGTCAACACTTCTTTCAAAAAAAAAAAAACTCCTTCATTCAAAATTCAATTCGTGCAACATAATCCTGAAACGAATCCGGTTGCATCATTAATGAATAAAGTCCTCTCGGCATCGGCAATCCACTTCCCGGGAAGAAGAAAAATTGGAAAAGGGGGAGGAGGAGGGAGAGAATGTATGGAGGGGGGAGGGAAAACCCAAATTTCTGCTGCAAATGCTCCCAACCTCCACTCGGAGAGCGCCTGGGCGAGTCCTCCGCGGGCAGGGAGGGCAGCTCCCGGAGCGGCTGTCTTCGCTCCCGAGCCCTTTCTCTCCTAGGGCT